AAAGGACATTATGTGAATTGATTCCACTGATCCCATTGTACATATGTTGTCTGAACTAAGAATACATGACTTGTTCTTTATTGTTCATCTGTGTTGTATATTTTCTTTCTCTAGCAAGGCAGTGTGTGGGTTGATAAAACATGAACTACACGTGGTTTATTTTACATTCCGCCACAGGTTATGGGCCCAGTCTCATGCCACAGTGCCACATCTGCTTGTGCCAGTGCCACTGCTAGAGTTATTTTAAAAGGACTGTAGTTAAATATTTCTTGATCAGATGTGAACTACACATGGTTTATTTTACATTATGCCACAGAGTTGGCTATTATGATGTATCAAATACAAACTGTCATCATATAGGGTCAAATGCAGTCAGTTGTTCAACAGGGAAGATATAGGGCATTCAGTTCAGGGTAGACTATAGGAAACTGTAGCTCTCAAGGATTTGCTTTACTAGATCTTTCAATGTCAGATTTAAAACATTTTAAGTAACATCCTCTCCCCCTTTGCTAAATAAAATAAAGCAACTGTGGGGGGAAGGGGATGGGTGGAGACGGGACCAAGTGGGTCACTGTTTTCACACTTTGTGCTGTTAATATTGGGAAGTAATTTATGTTATTGCAGACAGTAATCAAAGTACCTGTTCAAAATACCGAATTTACTTTTGTATCATCTCCTGATCTCTATCAATGTATTTCTTCATTTATGTAGACAAAGTTTAAAACACATTTCAAGATATATTTTCCTTCTATAAAAACATTTAAAAGTGCATTTTAATGGCATTGATCCAGTCTTTTGTCTGTTTGAAATACAAATAAGAATAAATCACCCTGGCTTTTTGAACATTGGAGGAATTTAAAATAAATCATTTCTTCTGGCTGTTTCTTGCACCTGACTTTCTGGGCTGGATTTTATTTCTTTCCCTCGTATTTTTTTCAGTGGCTGCTTCAGTCAGGACAAAAAGCTGAGTCATCTAGTAAAGTGTTGCACATGCTACAGATAAATCTGTACGTGCTGCAGAAAAACAACAACTACTGACAAAAATGTTCTAGTGTCCCTATTTTAAGAACGAACAGGACTAAACCACTTTGGGGTGTCTGAAGTGATCATCAGATCATCAGAAATCAGCCCAAGACATGACTACCATTGAACAGCGACTATCTGCATGGCCTTCCAGATGTTGTTCAACTCAATTCCCAATAGCCACAGCAGCATGTTCATTGGTGACGGCAGTCCTAGTCCAATGTTTGGAAAGCATCAGAATGGATACAGGTTGGGTCCTCCTTATCCAGATTTCCAAAATTTGAAATAATCTCTAACTTTCTATATAGGTGACTGGGGGGGGGGGGGATAGTGACACTTTTGCTTCCTTTCTCTCTCTTTTATATATGTGTGTGTGTGTGTGTGTGTATGTTATACAATTTACTAAGACAATAATTTCTCCATATATGACTTATTTCAAGACTTCTGAAGCTTTTTCCACTCGTGACCTCTTTCCACCTGATAAATGTTTACGTGATCCTGAATAATAAAGGTAAAGGTTTCCTCTGACATTAAGTCTTGTTCATAGACAGCTCCAAGGTCATGTGGCCAGCATGACCACATGGAGCGCCATTAGCTTCTCACAAAAGCGGTACCTATTCATCTACTCACATTTGCATGTATTTGAACTGCTAGGTTGGCAAAAGCTGGGCCTAACAGCAGGATTCAAACTGTCAACCTTTCGGTTAACAAGTTCAGCAGCTCAGCAGTTTAACCCACTGCGCCACCAGGGGGTCCTGAATACATAGTTATATAAGACAGATATAAAAACTAAATATTTACTGATAATAAATATTTGCAACGCTTGCTAAATACGGTGATTTTTCTTTTCGTGGAGTCCAGTGGATGCATTTCTGCAGTCACTGCAAACGCTGCAGATTTCTGTAAATGGGCAGCCTTCAGAAAACTTTTACTGTTTCCAGATTTTTCATGGCCCCAACATTGAGCTAAGGAGACCTCATTTGGGTTCTGGACACACAGTTCAAGAAGCAGTGTGACTTATATTACTGCACACCTCAATTCAAACTAATTTCACCCACCCTCCTAGCTAAAAACAAGGATCAATTAATAAAATTGAAAGATTAAAATGGACTTTTCACCTCAAAGATACACAATTAAAATACTAGTTACTGTATTGCATTGTATTGTCTTACTGTATTGCATTGTATTATCTTAGACAGATTGTTCATTATATCTTGCTAGCTCAGTGTTTTATGACTAATAGAACGGACCTGGATAATGATTTGGATTGTGTGATTTTAATGATGTTTTAATATTTGATGTTTTAACTGTTTGGATTTTAATGTATTCGCTTGTTTTATTGATATGTATTTATGTGGCATTGAATTGTTGTCTTTGTAAGGACGCTCTGAGTCCCCCTTCAGGGTGAGAAGGGCAGGGTACACATGTGGTAAATAAATATGATTAAAAGTGCCTTGGTGTGTTTCACATTTCCATCACAAATTGTTAGTGTCCCTGTACATTCTCTTTCCAGCCTGGTTGGAGTCAGGCATCATCCATACATCATTTCATAGATATTCTATTTCAAGTCAAAACTTGGAATATTTTTACATTCTTTTGACCATATTGCCATCCCATCTCTCCAGCCCATTTTTTTTTGCCCATTGAGTCACACATTTTTCTTTGGTTCTCGCTTTTAATTCCATTTTCACAAACTTTCTGATGTACACAGTTTGACACCACTTTACTGGAATGGCTGGAATCCTGGGAGTTGTAGTTTGATAAAGCACCAGCACTCTTTGACAGAGAAGGCTCAATACTGCACTGGGGATTGTGGGCACCGGGGATTGTGGCGCAGCTGGCTGAGTGTCAGCTGCATGAAGATCACTCTGACCAAAAGGTCATGAGTTCGAAGCCAGCCCAGGTTGGAGTGGGTTTCCAACCAATTGTGTAGCCTGTTGTCGACCTTTGCAACCCGAAAGACAGTTGCACCTGTCAAGTAGGAAAATTAGGTACCACCTTAAAGTGTGGGGAGGCTAAATTAACTAATTTATGAGGCCATAAAAAAAAGACTCCAGCAAAGCACTCCAGCAAAAAAGCATGCGGGGAATGCGGAAGTGCTTCATCAGCGTCGCAGATGGACGATGAAAGTGACAGCTCCCCTGGCGGCCAGAAAAAGTTAAATAGCCTCTGTGAATGTCTGTATATGTTGTATGTCAAAATTGGCATTGAATGTTTGCCATATATGTGTACACTGTAATCCACCTTGAGTCCCCTGTGGGGTGAGAAGGGCAGAATATAAATGCTGTAAATAAATAATAAATAAAGTACAACTCTCACGATTCCACGTAGAACAAAAACTGCTTGCACCCACTTTAACTGCCATGTCTTAATGCTATGGGGTCCTGGGAGTTGTAGTATTACATGCTCTTTGGCTTTCTTTCGCAAAGAGTGTTGGTGCTTCACCAAACTGCAACTCCCATGATTCCATAGCATTAAGCCATGGCAGTTAAAGTGGAGTCAAAATGCAATAATTCTGCAATGTAGATGCATCCATAAAAAGGTGGAAGGGTAATTATCTTATAAAACTGCAAATAACATAATTTCACAGCATTGAGCCATGGCAGCTAAAGTGGAGTCAAAATGCAGTAATTCTGCAATGTAGATGCACCTATAAAAAGGTGGAAGAGCAGGTTAGTTAGCTTATAAAACTGCAATTCCCATTTTTTTCTCGTGTCAGGGCAGGCAGTCAATTATATTACATTTCTAACAGAACAAAGCAAACAAACAGAGAAATACAAAATGTGTGAGTTTGGTAGTTGATTAAATGTCCTTTGACCAGTATCTGGCCACTTGGAGTGCTTCTGGTGTTGCTGCAAGAAGGTCCTCCATTGTGCATGTGGCAGGGCTCAGGTTGCATTGCAGCAGGTGGTCAGTGGTTTGCTCTTCTCCACACTCGCATGTCGTGGATTCCACTTTGTAGCCCCATTGCTGAAGGTTGGCTCTGCATCTCGTGGTGCCAGAGCGCAGTCTGTTCAGCGCCTTCCAAGTCGCCCAGTCCTCTGTGTGCCCAGGGGGAGTCTCTCATTTGGTATCAGCCATTGGTTGAGGTTCTGGGTTTGAGCCTGCCACTTTTGGACTCTCGCTTGCTGAGGTGTTCCAGCGAGTGTCTCTGTAGATCTTAGAAAACTATGTCTTGATTTAAGTCGTTGACGTGCTGGCTGATACCCACACAGGGGATGAGCTGGAGATGTCTCTGCCTTGGTCCTTTCACTATTGGCTGCTACTTCCCGGCGGATGTCAGGTGGTGCAATACCGGCTAAGCAGTGTAATTTCTCCAGTGGTGTAGGGCGCAGACACCCCGTGATAATGCGGCATGTCTCATTAAGAGCCACATCCACTGTTCTAGTGTGGTGAGATGTGTTCCACACTGGCATGCATACTCAGCAGCAGAGTAGCATAGCACAAGGGCAGATGTCTTCACTGTGTCTGGTTGTGATCCCCAGGTTGTGCCAATCCGCTTTCGTATGATATTGTTTCTAGCACGGTCCAGAGTGACTCCCAGGTATTTTGGTGCACTGCAATGCTCCAGTGGGATTCCTTCCCAGGTGATCTTCAGAGCTCGGGATGCTTCTGTTCTTGAGATAAAAGGCACATGTCTGTGTTTTAGATGGCAATTCCCATGACTCCATAGCATTGAGCCTTTGCAGTTAAAGAGGAGTAAAATGCAATCATTCTGCAGTGTAGATGCACCCATAAAAAGTGAAAGAGAAGGCTGATTAGCTTATAAAACTGCAACTCCCATGACTCCATAGCATTGAGCCTTTGCAGTTAAAAGTGGCATCCAAGTACAAGCCTGCTGCAACGTAGAACACCCAACTTCCCTTGCGCATGCGCGTTCCAGGAGCCAGGGCCTTTAGAACCTTCCTAAATCCTCAAGCCATTCCAGTCTTGAGCCTGGAGGGGGCGGAGCAAAGGGCGGGCTCTTGGAACGGAGGGAGCGCTGTCGTCATCGACGCGCGACCACGTCCAAGGGGGCGAGGTATGGCGAGGGTTGCCTTGGCGCTGAGCGGCTGTCATGGCGTCCACCGGGGAAGGGAGCTGCTCTGGTGAAGCCGAGGCCTCCGCCCGGGCGGGGAGCTCCTCCGAAGAGGCGCTCCGAGAGATCCTGAGGGACTCCTTGCGTGTGCTGCTTAGGCTGGCAGAGGAGGTGAGTGGGCCGAGGGGAGCCGTGAGAGAACAGGCGGCGGAAAGGGGAACCGGGCTGGCAGTTGAGGCGGGGAAGGCGAGAAGCGGGGTTTGGTCGGCGAGGGAGTTTAACAGGCCTCATTCTAAAGGTGCCCCAGACCCTCTTTGCTTGATTTGCAAATAGAGTTTCTTTTTAAACTGAATTCCGGCTAATATTTCGAGTGCTTTCTTCCCACGATTTCACTGGATATCCCAGGCAGGGGCCAACTTGGGCCCTCCGGGTGTTTTGGACTTCAACTCCCACAATTCCTAACAGTAGGAATTGTGGGAGTTGAAGTCCAAAACACCAGGAGGGGCCAAGTTGGCCCCTGCCTGGGATATACACTCCCATATAATGCAGTTTGCACGTTACATTAAAGGACATCAACATTATAGAACAAATGCAGTGTGACACTACTTAAACCAATCATGGCTCAATGCTATGGAATCATGGGAGATGTAGTTTCAAAAGGTCTTTAGCCATCTCTGCCAAAGACTGCTGTGACCTCATGAAATTACAACTCCCATCAAGCCAGGGTGGTTAAAGTGATGTCAAACTGCATTAATTTTATAATGTAGATGGCCCAAGGGCCCCCTGGTAGAGCAGCAGTTTAACCACCAAGCTGCTGAACTTGCTGACCGAAAGCTCGGTGGTTTGAATATGGGGAGCGGGGTGAGCTCCTGCTGTTAGGCCCAGCTTCTGCCAACCTAGCAGTTCGAAAACATGCAAATGTGAGTAGATGAATAGGTACCGCTTTTGTGGGAAGGTAATGGCCTTCCTTGCAGTCATTCCGGCCACATGTCCTAGGAGGCATCTACAGACAGCATTTCTAAGCTCTTCGGATTAGAAATGGAGAGGAGCACCACACCCCAGAGTCAGACACGACTAGACTTAATGTCAAGGGAAAATCTTTACCTTTTTGGATGGCCCCATTTGTACAGTTTCAAGCCAGTATTGAAGACATTGGTTTCAGCTGTGCTGATGCTTACATAGAAATTTTTGGAACCAATTTGAGGCCTGGATAGTGATTGCACAAACCACTGGTGCACATTAAGGGCTTTCTTTCACACACTTTCATGGGAGCTTGTGGTCTGGCAGCTGCAGTTTGAAACTAGTCTCAAACTACATTAAATGGCCAGTGTATATGGGGCCATAGTCTATTTTTCAAGGGTGGCTGTTGCCATGTGCTTTCAAGCAATTTCTGGCCAAATGAGAGCCTTAGGCAGTGGTTCTCAAGCTGTGAGTCCCCAGGTGTTTTGGCCTACAACTCCCAGAAATCCCAGCCAGTTTACCAGCTGTTACAATTTCTGGGAGTTGAAGGCCAAAACATCTGGGGACTCACAGGTTGAGAACCACTGCCCTAAGGTGACTCTATCACGCAGTTTTCTTGACACAATTTGTTCAGAAGAGGTTTGTCCTTGTCTTCCTCTGAGTCAGAGAGTGTACAACTTACCCATGGTCGTCCAGTGGGTTCATGACTATGTAAATTCAGAATTATCTTAATTCTAAGTTGCATCCTTCCTATCTTGCTCCATTCGATGGAGTTTTGAGTTCTAGTTTTGTGTATATATAAGAAATTGCATCTGTCTCCCTGGACATACTTCATCATTTTGCAGAAGTGACCAGTCTAGCACCCTAACCGTGCTAGAAAGGAAACTCTGAAGTTTCACAAGGCATCTGATAGGAATAAGGAATGTGGAAACAATGGATCAATGGAGGTAGAAATTGTACAAAAATGGGAAATACAAACCTTGTGATAAAAGCTTGAGTATCCCTTGTCTGAAATGCTTAGGACCAGAGGTGTTCTGTATTTCAGATTTTATCTGGAGTTTTCAATACTACCATATTCATAATGAGATATCTTGGAGATGAGATCCAAGTCTTAACACAAAATTCATTGTTGTTTTGTATATATCTTACACAAATAGTCTGAAAGTAATTTTATGTACCATATAAAAATGTTCTTGAAGCAAACGTTGGTGTATATTAAACCATCAAAGTCAGGGTGTCACTATATCAGCCATCCATGTGGACAGTTTGGGATTTTGGAATACTTCAGGTAGGGGATGCTCAACCTGTAGATGGTGTGAGGAAACTAATGTCAATAGGAATTTTCAGTGCAATAATTACATAACGTTTTACTCAGGAAATTACCATCTAAGAAATCAGATGGAATGCATAATAAATTGTAATATAGTAAAAGCAATCAGGAAATATAATTTAAAGTTAGACCAAGTAATTTCATGGAATAACTATGAAAATAATTTTAATCCAAGTTTATGCTCCCAATTCTGTTGGTAGAAAATTAAAAAATCAATGCAATCTCTGCAGGCTTTCAGGAATAAATCAATCAGACATATTGATCATGGGTGATTGAATCTCAGTGGGAAGAAAAAGAGGAGAACCAAGCATTTTTGGCCTAGAATAAAAAATGAAGCAGGAGAGGGACTGATGAAATTTTGTGAAGGCATCGGGCTTTTGTTGTTACAAAGACATTATTTAGGCATTTGAAAAGATTTATACATGTACATTATTGTATGACTAATACTGAATTAAAAATGTATAATTGGAAGGAGAAAATGGAGAGGCTCAATTCTTTCTCCAAAAACAATACTAGGAACAGATTGTGACACAGGCCATGAACTGCTAATATCAAAAATTAGAGAAAACTTAATAAAATGCATTAAATCAATTGTAATGATAAAATAAAATATAAATTCCATGAATTTAAACACATGCCAGTAATAGAATTTTATTATTCAATTTAATGAGTAATTTACGAGAAGAACTCTGGACAGAAACCAGAGACATTATGAGTGGGGAAAAGCAAGAAACTTCTCTTGAGAAACTGTAAGTCACTTCTGGTGTGAGAGACATTTCTCAGGGGATGCCTGTGGGAGGCTTCTCTCATGTCCCTGCATGAGAAGCTGGAGCTGACAGATGGGAGCTCACCCTGTCTCTCAGATTCAAACCGCCAACCTTCAGATCAACAGTTCAGCTGGCACAAGGGTTTAACTCACTGGGCCACTGCGGCTCCTCATTGTTACAATAACTTGTACAAACAAAAGAATGAGAGATTCTTCCCAAAATCCAAGAGGTCAAAAACAAACTTAAGAGTACAGATTCTGAATTAGCAACTGGGGAATACATAAAATGATCAGAACAAAATAAAAAGATAAAAATGATTAATCAAAGAACTATACAGAAGAATGAAAGAATGGCAGATTACTTCAAATGAAAACTTGTTGATAAAGAAAAGGATAGAAGAAAGCGTTGATGAAGAAAGTGAAAACTGCTGTCAAAGCACTTGGGCTTAGTGATACACCTGGAAAAGGTGGCAAAAGCTGACAGAATCAACCCACATTGTAACAAATCTGGAAAACACAATGAGGACCCACAGATTAGAAACATTTTTGTATATGTTCCAGGCCCCAAGAAATGGAACATAAGGATTGTAATAGTCATGAGACCATTAAACTAATCTTCCATGCAAGCAAAGTGAAGCTTCAGATTTTGCAACAAATACTTTTACTGTATATGAAATGGAAATGTCAAATGTCCAAGTTAGAATCAGAAAATGAAAAAGCTTTAAAGATCATGTTTCAAATATACATTGTCTAATTGAGAATACTGAAGATTTCAGAAGAAAATTTGCCTGTACTTTCAATATTAGAGAAAAATTATGGATTGCTTTAAAATAAATGCAGTTGACACCATATTATTTTTAGAAAGGACCTTTTGGACTTGGGCAAATGAAAGGAAGTGCAAACACAGGGCCACAGTCAAATATTGAGAAAACAAAACAAAAATGACTATAGGTGACTATATTAAAGTGGGCAATGAAGCCATTGAAATTCACAAAGATTTTCTATGCTTAGGCATCAGTCTCAATTGAACATGTAAGCAATGAATTGGAAGAGATTAAAATTTGGAGGCAACTGTGAAAGTGCTAGAAAGGATATTTAATTGTAAAGAACTCTCATTGAATACCAACCTCAGGATCATCCATGCTATAGTATTTCTGATTTCTGTGTATGCAAGAGAACAATGGAGATAGCTGGCAGAAAGGCAATCAACTCGTTTGAATTGTGGTGCTGGGGGAATGTGTTCTATAAATGGCATAGACTGCCAGAAGGACAGAGTAATGTATCCAAGATCAAACTGAGCCAAAGCTGTCATTATAAGCCAGTGGTTCTCTACCTTCTGCCTAATGCCATGATCCCTTGATACAGTTCCTCATGTTGTGGTGACCCCCCAACCATAAAATTACTTTCATTGCTACTTCACAACTGTAATTTTACTACTGCTATGAATTGTAATGTAAATATCTGATATGTAGGATGTATTTTCATTCACTGGACCAAATTTGGCACAAATACTTAATACAACCAAATCTGAATACTGGTGGGGTTGGGGGGGGGGTTGATTTTGTCATTTGGGAGTTGTAGTTGCTGGCATTTATAGTCAACCTACAATCAAAGAGTGTTCTGAACTCCATCAACAATGGAATTGAACCAAGTTTGGCACACAGACTTCCCATGACCAACAGAAAATATTGGAAGGATTTGGTGAGCAATGGCCTCAAGTTTGGGAGTTGTAGTTCACCTACCTCCAGAGAGCACTGTGGACTCAAAGATCTGGACCGAACTTGGTACAAATATTCAGTATGCCCAAATGTGAAGACTGATGGAGTTTGAGAAAAATAGACTTTGACATTTGGGAGTTGTAGTTGCTGGGATTTATAGTTCACCTACAATCAAAGAGCGCTCTGAACTTCATCAACCATGGAATTGAACCAAGCTTGGCACACAGACTTCCCATGACCAACAGAAAATATTGGAAGGGTTTGGTGAGCAATGGCCTCAAGTTTAGGAGTTGTAGTTCACATATCTTCAGAGAGCACTGTGGACTCAAAGATCTGGACCAAACTTGGCACAAATACTAAATATGCCCAAATGTGAGCCCTGGTAGAGTTTGGGGAAAAGAGACCTTGACATTTGGGAGTCATAGTTGCTGGGATTTATAGTTCACCTACACTCAAAGAGCATTCTGAACCCCACCAACGATAGAGTTGGGTCAGACTTCCCCACACAGAACCCCCATGACCAACGGAATATACTGTGTTTTGTGATGGTCTTTGGCGACCCCTCTGACACCCCCTTGCGACCCCCCCAGGGGTCCCAATCCCCAGGTTGAGAAACACTGTTATAAACCCAAATGTCTAAACTGAAACAATGTACTTAACATGAGACAACATGACCCATTGGAGAAGATAATAATACGTGGTAAATTTGAAGGCAATAGGGAAAGAGGAAGACCACATTGCAGATTGAATGATACAGCTCTGAATCAGAGAAGGGTTGTAGATGACCAGGGTTTTTTTTTACCACAGCAACTTTTTGCTACCATTTTTCTATCATTTTAACAAATAATTAACAGCATACAATGTAAGCTTACAGGTTTTTGAAGCCATAAAACTATGAGTCTATCATTTCTTGCCATCACTTAAATTTTTTAAAATCCTTTCTGAACTGTGTAGTACCAGAAAGTGTGTGACTGGCAGGTGCTCATAGCTCATTGGAAACGAATAAGGGATGGGTTTCAAATCAAGTCTATTGTATATTTTAAGGAAGAGGGAAAATTATGTGTAAACATTTACACAATGTAATTATTATCTCTTCATGAATTGCTTCAAGTTTTTATATTCATGTGTACACATACACACCCACACATGGAAGTTTTAAATTTTATAGCCTTTACGTGGAAAGGATAAGAATCTCTTGTTTTAACGCTTGGGTTTTGATAGCCCTTAAGAAACTTACGCTGTTTAGCCAGACAAAGTGTAGCAAACACAGTCCCATCCACAAAAATCTTCTCTTGCATCCTTGAATCTTTACATGTATTTCAATTGCAGGTAAGCACATATTGATCCAGGAGATGACTGTTTGCTTTTAACTACATTGTCAGTAAGATGTCTGCTGGAGTGTAGTGTGATATCTAGTGGCCAAAGTTTAAAAGGAAATTGAAAAGTTGGAGAAGATGAGGAGAAGGCCTAAGAAGCCTTTGAATTTGTTACAGTGGCAGATAATTAAAAGATTCAATAGCTATAGTTTCAAGTAGTTTGATCAAGGAACTTCAGCAAGAAAACAGAATTGGTCATTGTTCGTAAATGATATTATGATATAACATTAGAAAAGTACATCTAGGACACGTGTCAAACTCAAGGTCCACAGGCTGGATCTATTTAGTGGATGATAGAGAAGATTGATACTAAGAAATATGCATTGTCTACCAGCTCCAGTTTCATGTTCAGAGGCACTGCTATGGAAAAAAGGCCTACCCTGGAGGTTGTGCAGCAGATATAGCCCCCTTTGAGATGCCCAGAGTATCTCACAGAAAATTATTTCCATTCTAAAGTGAAGTTTGATAGGCGTTTTAGAGGAAAATAATAATTTCAGAATCCTATGGAAAATACAATTATTTGAAACAAGTTATGTTACTTGTTCACATTTCCTAGTTAAAATGTTCTTTCTCTACAACCAGAAGTGCCTTGGGGAAGAGACATCAATGTGTCAAATTGTGGATAATTGTTCTGCATTCTTATTAGGGTATACATTAGAAACTTGCGTGGTCATACTGTCTGGGAATGTTGAGAACTATAATTCAACATATCTGAAGGATATTTGATTGAAAAAGACCAGTGTATGGATACCAATAAAGATGCCTGTATAGAACCTTTTAAGTACTAAGGCAATACAGGCAAAGTGACGAACAAGATAGGTTCTGAAGGTTTGTTCTTAAGTTGAATTTGTATGTAAGTTGGAACAGGTACATTAGGCATGTATGATGTTTAAAAATGATTACAAAATTAGGGGCACTGGCATTGCTTTTCTAAAGTGTTTCTAAAGTATAATCAGTAAAATTTGCATTACTATAATGAGAGTAATGAAATTTTGTTACCTTTTTGTTACAGTAATTGTGCAAGTGGGGAAACTTCAGGGGCTCTTTTCTCACTCATTTTTACAGCTATTAGGGTGATACTTGCTACAATGGAAGAACACATTTACCACTGTTAGCCCATCGAGTTTCAGAACTTTTCACTTATCCACAGATTTTTGGGGAATTTTCAAAGTTTTTATAAACAACATTTTTTCAAAAAAACCACTAGAGCTATCTCTTTGAATTTTCTATACAATAACATAAGATAACAGGGAATCATTCCCCCAACTTTCAGAAATATTCATACATCTACTAGTTTTAGGTAAGTTTTAAAAAGTTTTTTTTTAAAAAAAGCCACAAAAGCTATCTCATCTAATGTCTCTCATATTAATAAATAGAACTTCCATTTTTGGATTGCTGCCCAGCCCAGCGATTTACTTACTAGAAGTATCAGTCAGTCATCCTCTTTGCAGATTCAACAATTTATTGGAACTGTAGCTTGCAGCTGCTAAGGAGGAAAAATAGCGCTCCCCTATTCTGATTGGGGCTTTCTGATGTTGAGCTATAGTCTGGGAAATGTAGTTTAGGGCAGGAGCTTTTGAATTCTCTGGCATAGGGCTCATCACCTTCCCAAACAACATTTCCCAAAATTCTGTGCTTTCTTTCCCAGCGAATTCCGCTCTCTTCCTGCTTCTTCCCTCTCCTAATGGCAAGAAGCCATTAATTTAAAGAGGAAAGGCAGCCCTTTTGGCTTTGCTTTGCTTTCTTGTGCTGAAAATAAAACTGACTTTGGGAGGCTCCCGAGATTTACAAAATGCAAACAAAAAAAATATATTGGATAAGTTAAAATGCTTAAGTTTTTGGCGCGGGCCCAGATATTAAGTACTAATTTAATGAATTTAACGAATTTGATACAACTTACGAGAACTAACGAAAATATTGCACACCCCTACTGTCTATCTATCTAGCCAGCTAGCTGGCTTTGGATAGCATAGGGAAGTGTTAACACCCATGCGGTGTTCGTTTTGCTATCTGTCCCCCTATTCAGAAGATTTCACCTCACTTTATGTCCCTGAGATAATTGGATTTTGAAAAATTTGGCTACTTATGTAAAGCAGAATTGGTAATAAAGCTTCAGTGAAGACAACCTTTCCCCACGATAACTCTTTTATGAGTGAATTTCCCTTCCCAGGGATTGATTTCTCAAATGTCCTTCAGATTGGTAAATTGGATGTTTGTAACTCGGAGACCACCTGTATGCTGCTGGGAAGTAATAGCCACAGGTGGTTACCTGAAGTTTGTAAAAAAAAATTTTTTTTGGACTAATTCCCATAATTTCTTAGCCAATGAAATATTTGTGAGGGTTATGGCTCTGTTCTTCAAGGTCTGGCTTGTACATTTATTGGGTTCAGTTTAGGCACTGTGAGAAGCAGGCTACTGGCTTTAATGGGCTGTTTGTTTATTTACTTTAATATGGATTTATTTACTTGATTTTTATCCCAATATAGGGACTCAAGGCAGCTTTAGTGTATAGTGTGGAGTAATGTTGTCCTTCAGTTTTCCTGAAAGGAGATTCTCATTTAGAGCTTAAGCTCTTTATGTGGTTGTCAAGGCATTCACATTGGAGCTCTGTTGTGACTTGGTTTATTTGACTTTTGAAGATTAATCTTGGAGAAGACGTGGTGAAAATTAACGTGGATTGGAGCAAACTTCAAGAAGCATCACCAGTTCAGCCTGTTTTGCTTATTACTGTTCTGCAGCAGCATATTTCAGCATTACAGGTAAAGGTTTCTTCTTGGGTACTATTTAAAACCTAGTTGCTCAAATTAATCACAAAAAGCCACACAAAAAAACCCTTCTAGGCTGTTGAACAGGAAAACCATTCTGCTTTGCTCCCCAAAGAGCTTTTTAAAAACCCCACCCTGCTACCTAGAAGAGTTGTGAGAATAGCATTACAAGTTACTCTAGGTTAAGTAGATTGCACTAGGCAGTCCCGTTGATTTCTGCTCTTCCATTGTAAATGCAGTGCATTTCCATCTGTGGCAGGTTATAATTAAGCAATAACACGGCAGGTGTGTGTCATGCTATGATAATGATTCCATGCGTTGGGTGAGTTCTGCGGTTTGTAGAGTGCTTTCAGTGGATCAAGAAGTGGCATTATCCCAGCAGGATATATCCTGGTGTGTGTGTCTGCAATTAACCATATTTCCCGCACAGATTTTGTTTAAGTAACTTCTTAGACATTTAATGTTTCATCTTGCGAAGTAACCAATTGCAGCATTATATCACTTTTGTTTGACATTTTTTAACCTTTATTAATGTTAACTTCTGCTACTTGTGTCATTTCTTGGTGTCAGATCAGCACAAAAAATGAGAAGATATCTGTAATTAAATTGCTTTCCTATTTAATTAGGGCATAATCTGTCAGCAGCATTGACTATGCAATCCTCATTGGAGAAAAAAAGGAAGCTAGAAAGAAAGGTGGATGGATGAATGTTCTTGGTTCACCACCCTTATATTCTTGTAAAACTTGTATAATAAGAATTTGCAATTGATTAAATTGCCAATGTAATACATACAATTAAATATAAAATATATGTAAAAATAAGAACATTTAGGATAATCACAGAAAAGGCTCCTATAACATTGCTCACAATGTGGAAAACAACTTTGGAGTTGGAAGAGATTATCTTGTAATTTCTTTTTCAAATACCTAGTAGCTCCAATAGAAATAAAGGAAAAGCCCATATTATATACATTTTCATTGTGATTCTTTATCATTACTTGCTTTGCAAGTACTGTTTTTCCCAAGTCATTATTTGGCTTGTCATTTACTGCAGATACTTTCAAAAATGTATTTCAGCGGTGCCCTTGTATGCTTTCCTATATTTATTGGTTTGTGAAGGATTTAACTATTAAAGATAGAGTAATTCACTATTTATTTTTTAAAAAAAATAGAATTAAGGAAGATTTATTTTACTGCTCTGAGTAATTGACTGTTAAGAGGAGTGCATGATCTGGAGTTCAGTTCTTGTATATTCTCTCATGCATTTTTGGTGACTGCTGTTTCAAGTGGAGATGTTTTCAGTGATGTGGTGAAAAAGGAAGAGCTTTAATAAAACAAAAGTCTTGGTTCTCTTGTTGAGGAGCAAAAATCCTTTAGGTTTAATGTTCTAATTATGTATTAAAATGACATGTAAATTAAGTGGCGTTGCTGCTCAAGTCTTCTGGTTTCATTTGGTACAAAACATCTCAGTAGTAGTCAGATTTGTTTAGATAATTTGGACCCACTGAAAAAGGTACAGATTGGTAAAATGTATAGATTAGTAAAAAGCACTGATGAAAGGTAGAATGATACTTGGACATGCTGTATTTTAACTCTAATTTCATTTAGTGGCATATGCTAACGCTGATAGCATATAATCTTTGCAATGATTTTAAAGGTATTAGCTTGAGTCTTCTTTTTTCTTTCTCTTTTGCTTAGCCATTTATAGAGAAACTCCAGTCTTTGATTAAAGCAGAAAATGCCACAGCCACTAATGATTACAATAAGACAGAATGCACAAAGTGTGATATTAATTCAAAGGCAATAGATAAAGATTTGCAGCTAGAAGAGACTCACACAACCTGCGATTCTGCAAACCTGAAGAAAACTAATTTTGATTTTGACCCAGAAGTGGTCCAGATAAAAGCTGGGAAAGCTGAAGTAAGTGACTTTTGGGACACTACCATTCTTCTAGCCTACACCATTCTTTGATTTTGAATAGCAATAATGAAAACTAAATACAAGTTGTTCTGTTACCTACAGATTGAAAGACGAATATCAGCCTTCATTGAAAGGAAGCAAGCTGAGATCAATGAAAACAACGTCAGAGAATTTTGCAATGTTATTGATTGTAATCAAGGTAGCTTATCCAGTTGAGCTTTAATTCTCTTAAGTCTTTTATGCACGATTAATGCTCCTTCTTAGTTTTGCACAGCTCTTTTTTATAAGTTGTTGGAAAGCAAACAGCCAGATTGCCTTTAAGCAATGTAAAAGATACTAGTTAAGCAAAATGAGGAATCTTCCATTTCTAAAATGCTGACTTTTAGAATGCTGTTATCTAAATTACTGGTAAAAGTCCAGATGACCACAAAAAAGCTTTCCCCATATATGTTCTTTTTCTGTAATAGTCCTGTGAACTCTAGTGAAATAGTACATGGTAACTGACATAATACCATAAAAACAATTATTATATAGCCGTTTCCACAGATTTATTTTTTAGTAATTTATTTCTTGCATGTTCTATTTAATGTAAGTTACAGTAACTTCAAAGTAGTTGAATACTGATGCTTCAGTAATGTTATCTAGGTCTCCGTGATTACTTCGGAATTCTAAAACCTGAGGAGCAAACATATTTTTAAGTTAGTAAAAATTAATATTTAGTTTCATATTTTAGTTTATGCAAACTAAATATTGTAGAACTATTAATCCAAGATGCAGGTGTACTAATTAATGGACACTGATTTCATATTAATTTATATACATGATCAAGAACAGCTATAGAGTGACTATCCCTACTTATGCTTTCTTTTTTCTCTTTTTCTTTTTAAAAAGACAGTCTTGAGGACACTCAGTGTAACTAAGGGGAGGTACTAAACAGGCCAAATTGCATAGTGAAGAATTGTATGAAGATGTTAATTTTGTAAAAGGGATTGAATGCGTAGTTAAGGAAACATACAAATAAGTGGCGTATAAGCAATAAACTGTAGGAGCAATAAGTACGTATGTTCTGAAATAAGTAGATCAGGAAACTATGATGACAAAATATAAATCTGCAAACAGTACACATATTATACAATAATTGTTCTCAAAATTTACTCTTTCTTGCATATTTCTAGCTGCATATTCTCAAGGTAACTTCGCCCATCTGTTACTGCTTTGGGATATTGAAGTTTTTAGTAGTTTCCCAAATATACCATTCTATCCTACAGTGTATTTATAATGTACATAGGAGCAAGACAAGTTTATTAAAGCATAGAATGAAAATGTTACTGAGATAGCAAGGGAGAAAGCCTGATCCAGTTTTTCATCCTCTGAGGTCTCTTAAAATTCCAGCCAGCCTTCATCAACAGATTACTCTCCAGGTCATTTAGATTGCGATTCACATCAGGCCCATGCATAATAGATAATGGTCAGAGATGGTGGAAGTTCTCCAGATTAAATGAAATGTGCCAGATTGAGAGATTCCACGAGGGGAACCTTTGGTTTTATGGGTCTAATCCAATTTGTGATTTTTTTCTTTGCCCAGAAAGCTTCATGTACCCTTGTTTCCATCTCCATCATGACTGGAGAAAAAAATGTTCCATAATGTCTGATAAGATTTTGCATTAAATGAGCTCTGGTTTTTTAGACTTGGAAGATTGTACATGGAACAGATTACATGGGGAGATATTCCTTGATGTTTTCCTTTTAGTTGGTGGTAGAGATTTCAGCAAATTGCACTTTTTTATTTTATTGTTTTGTATTTTAATGATTTTCTACATTATGATATATAATGCTGTTCACTGTAACACATGATTCATTATAAAAAGATGTGGTAAAAAACTCAAATGAACAAGTGGCTCTTTAGCAAAGATTTGTTAAAAGGATTATCTTTATAGTCTTTTACCAAAATCCTTATGTTGAAACAGTTGAGTTTGGAAAATAGCTTGGTAAAATCTCCCTGTCTACATCTATTTAAATGCTTGAGTATGGTCAGTGGCCTTCTTTGTGAGACTTTTGAATGAATTTAAGGCATCTTAAATGTCTGTACTAAGAATCATTTTTTAAAACCTTAGAAAACAGCTGTGCTAGAACTGATGCAGTGTTCACGCCGTATCCAGGATTCAAAAGTCACGTGAAGGGTAAGTGCTACAATTTGTGATATCATTGTAGTTAATTAGTAGTATAATTGTCTCATTTCATTTATATAGTTTCATTTATACTTTTCTGGTATTAGTAACCTAATAACTGAACATAGTACTGACCAAGAAATACATTTAATTTAATTAACATTATCCAGTGCTTACAAATATTGTAATTAAATAACCCAGTTCCACATAAAATATTGAGGAAATACCTTTATGTTATCTTAGCCAGAATAGTCAGGTGGAGAATGAAGTGAAAACTGCCTTACACAAGCCATTAACTCTGTGAATCTGGTACTCCTGTTGGGTAGTGTTCTTACGCATGAATAACAGGTTGATCTGATCTATTAAACTGAGCATTGCAGATTCTTTTAGAATCTACACACTGAAGCTTAATTTGCAACACTGAAGATTATGATCTGCTCTGCAGTTTATAGTGGGTAGAGTATTAGACTATGAGATGTAAAAGTACACCTGACAAGGACAACGGACAGAAACATGGATAGTGTTTATTCTGACCAGGATGAAGAGTGCAAGGAACAGAATAAGGAAAAAATAAGTGTGAAGGCTACAGAACTGAATAAGGCAAAACAGTGTAGCTGATAGTAAAGTATAATATGGTATATTGCAGTTTGATATTAAAAGTAAAGTATAGACTGAGATTATTTAGCATGATATGTTCTTTTAACTGGCAATGTGTATCTAATCATTGTAGTTTCCTACCTTGATTACATTTATTATGCTTATTATTATTACTGCAGTCAGCCCTCTACATTTGCTGGGATTATGGGCACAGGAGCCCCACGAAAGTGACAGTCAGAGAATAAAGAAATGGCTCTTTTTTAACCTGAGAGAGAGAGAAGAGCAAGGTGTTTTCTATAGGACTCCGTAGTCTTCCAGCATAACTGTAGAAATTCACTGTTATTATTAACTGCACTATAAAATGAAACCACATTATAAAATGTAATGTTCTTTTAAATGTATAGATGCTATATTTATAGTTTTAAATCCCTAGTTTCTCGAGTTGTAAATACCTATGGCCCTCAGACTAGAAGTGAAAGTGGTTATGGGTCCTGCCATAAAAACTCCGTATTCCGAGATTGTGGGAATCAAGCTGTAGAAGAGAGACTACAGAACATTGAGGCTCATCTGAGGCTGCAAACAGGTTTGTACTGACACTTTCCGTCTGAACTCTATACTGTGGTTCTTTTACATTACTAGAAAGCAGTAAAACAATGCATTCAACATATTCCTACCAGCTTTTATGCCCGTCTCCAGAAATGAAGAATGGTGAAAATTGATTTTTTAATCCTGATGGGCTTAATTCACATGTTGATTAAGTTCTGTGCACTACATTTTTCTTTGTCAATTTTTCACTCTGTCAGGTCTACCACTGATACCTCTAGAAATCACTTGTGCAAAAGTTCTCTCCCTTTCTTAAACCTAACTTACTGCTTTTGCACACTTCTCTGCAGCTGGTATCTAGGAGCCATGGTACGTGTCAAATAGCGGTCACATGAAGATTTCTTTGGACTTCTCTGTATGAATGTCATGTTGCTGTTTTGCTTGGATTATGGAGTGGGTACTTTTGGGGAAAAAATTATGGGAATCCCCTAACCTGGCCAAGCTACCTCAACAAAATTGGAAAACGTAGTCCTAAAAAATTAACATTCCTAAAATCTGGTTTTGCTATGATCTCAGGAAGACTGGCTTCTTCCAGCTTGTTCCTTGGAAAGGTCCATGGTAAAAGGACAGTGAACCCCTTGTTACCTTACTTGTCTGACACATTCATTGTTTTGTTTACTTCTTTCCAGAAAGGTTGCTTAAGCAGGGAACTCTTTTCCATTGACCTACTGTGTGGTGTAAGAAAGTTACTGCATTCTTTCTTCCCTACTCTAGTGGTGGGAAGTATATTTAACATGTGAAGATATGACGTGAAAAGTACTTTATTTCGTGATTCTTGAGAATGCATAGTCTCAAATTAAATCAATGTATTTTCTTCACACAGTCAGGCTTCAATCTTCCTGCAGCAGAAGGTCACAATATGTACATATAATTTTGAGAAAGAGAAAGACCGAGGAAGAAGTGCAGCCAAGGTGTCCATACAGAATTTCTGTACAGTGTAGCCTTCACATTACTAATCCAGTAGTTCTCAACTTGTGGGTCCTCAGGTGTTTTGGCCTAGAACTCCCAGAAATCCCAGCCAGTTTACCAGCTATTAAGATTTTTGGGAGTTGAAGGCCAAAATATCTGGGGACCCAGAGGTTGAGAACCACTGCAGTAGTCAATCTATGGTTTCCCAATTAATTTCATAAGGTTTTCTTAGACTAGGAATTCTCAGTGTTGGTGTTACCAGTTCCTTCCTCTGTAATCAGTGTAGATTACCCATTCATTTAATTCTGCTTTGGAAAACAATGTTTTCAGAAAATAAACAAGAACTTACATGGAGAGTCTGAAGTTTGATCTTCTGACTTGGATTTTCATCAAATCAAAATACTAAGATGTCAACAGAACAGAGCAGCCAAGCACTAGACACACCTGCATGTACCAGCTCTTAGCTGCTGCTGAATGTATTTTTCCCTCTTCCCTCCCTATCCCTTTTCTCTTGTGCGTTGTGTCTCTCAGTCTTTGACCCTTCATACTTTATTTCCCAGAATTTCTGACCATTTCCTTTCTAATAGCTATTTTTATTTTGTTTTAAACAGTTAAACAATAAAATAATGACATATATAGAAAGACAAATTCCACGAAACAAAAGGACCATATCCCTCTTACATTTTTTCTCGCTGCTGTAGTTCAATATAATAGTATTGTATTGCCAGCAAATAGTATCTGCTGGCATTCAATGTTTGCCATATGTATTGAAAACTGCACCGAATCCCTTTGGACAGATAGGGTGATCTACAAATAAAGTTTTATTATTGTTGGTGGTAGTAGTTTTCCATGTTTTCTCTCTAGGTAATCATCCAACTTCACCAACAAGTAAAACTCTGGTTTTATTGTAATTTTGTCTTTGACAGTTCTTTCCAACATCATATGTATTTGAATCTAGTATTTCTGGGCCTTTTAACAAGACCAACACAATTTCTGATTATTTGCTAAACTGTCTAGGACTTCAAGGACAAAAACTGAGAATCACTGTAGCCTTGACTACTCAATTAACTGTTTGTTGGCCAGTCTAGCAGTTTTTTGGCTAAAATATGGGATGCAAATGTCTCAAATAAGTAAACAAATACTTTTCTACATTATATTTGTAGTTCTTGGTCCACACCTGGACTAGAAGACTGAATTAAAAGAATCTTAATACATTTCCTTTTTTAAAAAAAATAAAAATCCCTTAATCCTCTTTATTTTTCTAATGGATCTGCTGGGTTTTTTTGTTTGTTTGTTTGTTTTCGTAATTGTTGTAATACAGGCAGACCAGTACCTAAAGACATTTATCAAAGGATTAAAAAGCTGGAAGATAAAATCCTTGAACTGGAAGGGATGTCTCCTGAATACTTCCAGGCTATGGTGAGTCTCTTGTTCTTAATAAGATTTTTCTGAATCTGTGCATATGGATGCATACATATGTCTGGTAAAAAAAAAATTGCAACTGTTGCAGCCAGCAGTTTTTCAAGATTCTCCCCAGCCCTTGATAGTCTCCATCAAGGAAAGCTGGTCTATCAGCATATTGTAAAGTTCTATATGCAGGTGGCTTATGGGGCACTGTTTCAGGAAGATCATTAGCATTTTAAGATGTTCTGTATCGAGTTTTTTTGTTTTACATTACTATAAATATTTTTCTCTTGTATGCACCAGAAAGATTGAAATGCCTTTCGTCAATTGTATGACGGCATATATGCAGGGTTTTAAATTCTCTAGAAATTTTGAAGGCATGGGGAAAACCTTCTTTTCCCAAGAAGGTTTTGCTCCCCCAAAGGGCATCAAGGAGGTTGGTGAGGCAGGAGTGAAGGAAGAAGCTCTGCTTTTGCCCAAAGTGGGCAGCGAGGGAGGGAGGGATGCCTGGTTGGGTGTCTGGGCAAGGAAGAAGCCCATTGGCACATAGCTGGCTCTGAGAGATAGGCAGAAACTACACTCACATTAAGGCTTTAATGTGGGAAGCAAGCAGGATTCTGGGAAATGTAGTTTACGGCGAGGCCTTTTAAATTTTCTGATGCTGCTGAGCTGGAGGCAATGCAGCACCTGCGTTTTTAAAGTAACTTATCCAACTAGGAGAGGGAAATCCCAAGTCCTGCTGATATGGAGGCAATGCAGCACCCTTGTTTTAAATGTAACTTCTACAACTTGGAGATGGAAAGCCCAAGTGCTTTAATGTGGGAAGAAAGCAGAATTCTGGGAAATGTAGTTTGGGGCAGGGCCTTTTGAATTCTCTGCCACATGGGTCCTCGCCTTCCCAAACTTGACTTCCCAGAATTTTGCTTACCACCTTGTGCCGCCTCCTCCTCCTCCATGCTCGTTTTCTAAAGGGATTTTGAGATAAAAAGGGATTGTTGGGAGTTGATTCAATCCTGTGAGGTAGACAAAGTAACTGCTAAGTTTTCCTAGTAGGGTTCCTGTTGTTGTCATTGTTGTTATTTCAATGGCTGGATGGCCATGGGGGTGGTTTTCCTGCCTGGCAATGCCCTATTTCAATTGGTTTGACTCCCCCCAATATACAAGTACTTAACAAAAAGTAACATTATAGTTACGACACAGATCCCTAATGATATTTTAGAAACACTTTAGCAGAGATTCTCTCTCCCCCCCCCCCCAAATTTAGTAATGAGTATTGAAACATTTTTTTCATTAATCGCACAGGCCTAGTTATTACTATTCATTACAAGTTCAATAGTTAAGAACAAAATGTATTGTACACATATTTTGATAAAATTCTACAATTTTGTTTGGTATAAACTTATTTTGGTATATTAATAGCATAGTTTTTAATGTTTTGTATTCCAGCTGGAGCTATAAGATTCTGAACTGTAAGGAATCACTTTTTGTGCCACTTTATTAGCAGTGGAGAGAAAAAAAACCAACAAAAACAGCAGGAACCATCAACATTAGTAAAAGAGAGAAAATTAGTTTGTCTCCTTTAATCTTCCATAGTATCAGCCAGAATTAAAGACCGGAGATAAGAATAAAATACAGGGAGAAAGGCAGGGTATAAATAAAGATAAGAATAAAAATAAGAATAATAAAAATAGTACCAGGAATGACAATGGTGAGTGTATATTGTCTTACATAATTATCATCTTATATTGTTTTTTGAAATACTTTTAGGAGAAACAAATATATGACTACCTTATCTCAAACATTTTATTCACCATTATAAACAACAAAAGCCCTTTCCAAAATCCAATTCTTAAAAAAATCAATTATTCAAAATAAACAAAACACCTGTCAATCAAATTATTGTTTCTGAATTTTTCAGCTTTATATCTTTGTCCTCACTTTTATGTATATGTGTGTGAATTCTTACACTGTTTCCAAAAGGTTCCATATACACTGTTCTAACTGTTAAAACATACCAGGGTTACAAGTTATGGATGGCACATATGTACACATTTCCTATTCAGCAAAAGATGTTGTGTATGGGATTTTTCCTCAATACTTGCAATGCCCTATTTCAATTAGAGTGGAAGAACTCAAGCACTGCTCATTTCCCTTTTATGAAAAAAGTGTCTCTGAGATGGACAGACTTTCATTTGTTGCTTCTTTCACTGATTATGATGAAATAATTTATTGTAGCAAAAGGGTATAGGTTCGAAAAGTTTGACTCTTATATGTCAGACTGCCATTTCCATGAGCTCTAACACTACAGCCTGTAGTATGGTATGCTGGGAACTGTAGTCTTATCAATATATGGAAAGTTGTATTTTCGTTATTCCTACCATAGAATTACTTTTTCTTTATTCTAAGTATAGTAATAGTAGTAACCCTATTTTATTTGGATTTTTAAACAGAATTTGTCTGGCAAAAGAAGGAAAATCCAGCAGAACCAAGTAAGTGCACTTGAGTGGTGGGGTAACAGACCATATCTTGGACCTTCTATGGCAGAGATCCTTCTTTTCTCCTTGTGGATATTTCTGTCCACAATGGTTAATCCTGTCAAAATACTTATTTTATACATTTAGAACATTAGATGGCTTAATTCATGTTTGTGCAGCAGTGTGATCTCAAATCAAAAATAATAGTCTTGTTTGAATGAAAAATAATACATTTCCCTAGAAGGCCAACAGTGGTGGGACTGACTTCCTCTTACACTATCAAGCCAGACTACATGGAAAGTAGATTTTCATATAAATGTATCTGTACATATTCTAACCTATAGAGGAGTGATAATGGGCAGTATTCAACAAAATCCGTAACTCTATCCTAAAATAAGATAACAAGTAGTGAAATATATTCACTGAAATATTTGTCTTTCAAAGTATTTTAAGTTTTTAATACTGCTTCTCCATCCACATCAACATTTATTACCAATAAATTAAACTGCTATTATTTTCCCCTCTCCAAAAACTCTTTTTTCAGCATTTAAATATTTAAGAGCTTTCATTTAAATGGCTCGATTGCTGTCACAGAGCCAGTTCAGATGTAACAATCTGTTTAAAAAGCATGGGTTTTTAACGGAGAAATTAACATCCTCGCCACTTCAGTGTCTTATTTCCTTTCCTCACATTCCAATTTCACTACATGTATTATGGGATCCAGGTTCACTATAGGACTTCTAGCTATAATATTAGCCATGTGCATTTAGGCCAAAAGGCCTACTTTTTACGGGTCCGTTTTCTTCTGACCCCTCATTTTGTTTACCAGAAAGTTACCCAAAAAGGGAAGGATGTTTTCCGTTTCATTTGGCAGAGATTTGGCCCGTTGTCTACAATGGGAAATTTTAAAGGCTCAATCCTCAGCCATTTTAAGGCCTATCTGCATGAAACCTACCTCAGTTGTAGACCTTATTTACAACTGCAGGCCTGCCAAGTTACAAAACAATTCACCAATCGACTGATTTTTAAGAATTATTTTAAGATTTAAACATAACTTTTTAAAAAGAATATAAACCGCAAGAGAGGGTTCTGGGAATTATAGTCGCTGGTTGTGTCCATTCTCAGCCAATCAGAGCATGGACACCACCAGGCTTTTTATTGACTGAAAGACACACAGAGAGAAAAACTTCTACCCTCATTGTGGAATTTGAGGAATTTTCAATGGCCACCCTATGCTAATGCCACTGGGAAAGCGAGTTCTAAGGACCCTTTCTGGAGGAGGAGGTAACTTTCCAAGAAAAAATGGAGGAGACTTCTTCTGCCAGGGAGAAAAAAAGATGCCATAGATCCCCCTGCCTCAGGTATTTTGTGGACTTAACTCTTAGTATATCTTTGTATTCGTTTCACTGGTATTCTTGTCTCTCTCATCCCCCTTCTGTTTTCAGAAATTACATGAAAATGGCCCTTCGAAAACTACAAATCTTTTTGTTAACAGTGATTCGGGCCCAACTCTATATAATATGAAACTAGAGTTCATATCATGGCCTGGAAGATAAGATTAAATCATAGTTTCCTGTTTTTAGTGTTCATGAAAACTAGTTTAAAATAACTACTTAAGAAGCAAAATAACCACTTAGCAAGTTGGCAACCAAACCTACCCATTGTCCTATTTTATTAAAAGCTGGTGCTTTGCTTAATGTTTAAGTAGTACATCAGATATGTTAAACTTTCATTTTTTTTAATGACAGGACTATTCTTTGGCCGAACTTGATGAGAAGATCAATGCACTTAAGCAAACATTGCTGAGAAAAACAAATGATGGGAGGCCCAAGGTGGTTGACCAGCTTCTTTGAGTACAGCAATGTGACTTCAGCGAGCCTTCATGTTTACTTAACTCCTTTAGACTGTCTTGAGTAGTGTTTATCTAGGCACTATGGTAAGGAAACTCGACAATACCTGTGACTTCGTCTGATCATTAGCGGAAACAAAAAAGAAGTGAACTTTGCTTCTTCAAATGGAGAAGGTTTTCGGACAGCATTACAAATATTGCTTCCCTTCTGTTGGAAGAACATACTGTGCAGCCGTTAATAAAACAAACACCCTTTTGGTTGGCTGCATGAAAATAACTGTACATTTTGTATGTGATGGCCATGCATCAGAAAATTATCCCATGGAATACTGTTTTAACTAGACATTGTTATGTGAAATGTGGTTTTTTAATATAGCTTTGTGAAGTAACCTAAGTATACATGTAAAAAAATAAAGATGCTTTGTAATAACTATGAAGTGCTAGTACTACTTTTATGAGATGAATGGCTTCCTTGTAGAGGATGACAGGCTGTCTGTCTTTGGGTGACAGAATGCTTCATGAAATAGTATTGAGTGCCCATGGGGGCAAATTCCATGTTACTCTTTCAAGAAAGAAATCAGCATGAGTTGAAATCAGCATCAGCATGATCTCACATGCCATGAGATCAATAGTCCTAAAAGCTCAATGTTATTTGATCTGACAATAGTTTTATGAAATATGAATCCCAAAGTCTTCCCAATATTGTCATGAGATGCATTCACTCAAGATGCCAAAACTGAATCTGTGTGAAACTCCACAAAGACAAATTATAGAATCATAGAGCTGGAAGAGACCTCATGGGCCATCCAGTCCAGCCACCTGCCAAGGCTCATTCAGTGACTCTAGGTAAGGCCATTAATATATCAGTGCAGGTCTTCATGGAAAGAGGTATATATGGATAGTCATTACAAACTTCAAAGCTTAGCTTTTTGGTCATGACCAAATGAAACAGTGGTGTTCTTCCTCTAAAGCAGTGGTTGTTCTGTCGCCGCTGGGCTTGAAACGAAGTGCTTTTAAAACAGGACGTGCAACTTTAGCCCAACGGGAAGCCAGGGGCCCTGAAGAGAAGCCCTTAGAGAATTTCCCCCCATTAAACAGTCTTTAGAAGGCTTGAGCTTAAATACAGCAAAGTATTTTATTGATGAACAATTAAACAGAAACTTCTTTTGTCTTCAAAGATTAAACAAAATGCTTCCAGGTTTCAAACAATTGGTGGCTTCTAACTGTTTCTTTGCTTTACTTCCAAGGAAAATCCCTTTCTAGCTCCTCCCAGGCTAACTGTGAACCTAGACCTGATTGATGTGGATCCACTACCGGGATGAACTGCATCTCAAAACCGAGTGAACGTACCAGTAGGCCTGTAGTCACTTAGCTGGAGTTCTTGGTGTTTAAAGCTGTTATTCCCTCCGAAATTCCTCAGGGCTGTAAGGCTGTTTCCCTGGAACCTTTGGGAATCTTTAGATGCTCTTAAGACTGTTCTTCCCCTGGGAAGTCTTAAGGGTTGAAGCCTTTGTACAGGAGAAAGTGTACACGTCCTGTACATTGACTTCCTAGCTGAGACTAACTGAAAAATGCCCCCTTCCCTTCCCAATTGCCCTGAGCAAGGGGCAGGACCAAACTCAACGATGATGGACAGGTGGCTTGCCCTATAACTGCAACCAAAAGAAGCCACCTATCTGCAGAGTCTCTGAAACTTAGGACTGCAAACAAACATTCAATGCAAAGCAAACAAAATTGGAGCTCTTGGTACAGCTGTACCAGAACAGTGGTTCCCAACATTTTTTTTTTTTTTACCAGGAACCACTTTGATCAGGAATCACTCTCCAACATTAGTACCAAAAGGGTTACTAATCAGTTTTTGGTCAACTTTAGATTTAGTTTGGTTATTTAGGGTGCTAATTCAGAAAATTGCATTGGATAGACCACATCAACTCAAGTTTCTAATACAGAACATATGCTATCCAGTAGTCGCCGTCTGCTCGTTCACAAAAAATCATATTTAATAAGCCTCAGCGAGACCAGTCACTTTTGTTTTCAATGGTGTAGTAACAGTGAGGCTGTGTACCATATTTTAGTTCTTGTGGACCACTGGTGGTCCATGGACCACAGGTTTGGAACCACTACTCTAAAGAATGTTCTAATGTTCTAATTGGTATTGTTTTGGGGTGTTAACACTGAGTATGCTGTAGAAAAAAATGCATGCAGACAATAAATTACAATTTCAATGAAATAGTTTTGCTGTTATTGAAGTCTGCTTTAAATTGTGTCTGCTTTCAATCGGTTTTTTTTTTTTTTGCATGATTTATTAGAGGACATTTGTTGTTACTTTCCTCCAAGTTGAAAGAGTGACTTTTTCAAGATCTGGGGAATGGTTTTTTATTGAGAAAATGAATTAAAAACACAGGTTCTGCATCTGCGGATTCAACAAACCATGGATTGAACATATTTTTAAAACTGCAGTTTGGGAGTCTTTCATATTCCTCTTGCCCTATTCTGTGTTTCTATACAACAAATCTGCAGTTCTTTTGTAGTTCTAAAGACTCAGTTCCAACATGGATTGCAGACTCCAATGTAGATTGCACACTCCTAACAAAATACAGTAATGAACTAGATTTTTTTTTCCTGAAACTGTAGAGAAATAAGTGAGTTTTGTTATATCACATGAAAGTTTAAAAGTAGCGTCTTCACTGCTAAAGGGGTCCTGTGTCACATTTCAGGATCAACACAGATACGAGTACAATTTTTTCGAACAGTGTAAACAGGTCTTATGACAGACTACCCACTCCATACCAGTATAACTATACCAACTGAGAGGGATTCCCATAGCATTCTCATCCGACCCAGACAATTATCTAAGGAGGTTAAGATTGGTCTGGTTTTCAAAGGGATATACTGTATATTCAGCAACTTTCCACCTCTGAAAATATTTTGTTCAGTGAACAGCAAATGAAGGGTTTTTGCAGCTAGCATCCTAATTAAATTGGTACACATCTCCTGCACTTCATTTTAAGGCTGTTATAAATGACAGAGATGGAAGCTTTTCCTGTTAATTTCTATAAACAAGAAATCTTCCCTACTCCACCCAACATCTCCAATAACTATAATGGAATCCTCTGTTTGAATCTGTACAAGTGACTCAGTGCTCAGGAGGGGGGTGACAAGAGGATGGGAGAAAAGAGGATAATTACTAATTCCTGCTTCAAGTATATACTTCGATACCTCAGAATGGGAAGCGTAGTTCTGATCCCTGTAACAGGATAGCAAGAACACTGCAGAATTTCAGAACAAAACGTTTCAGAGACAAGTCAGCACTTTTCCTTCTTACGTGTACAACTTAAAGGGGCATTCAGTTCCTTGTTCCTGCCTGTTAAGTCATTATTTGGACAGTTTTTACAAATTATGTTCCCAACAGAATCATTACTTTTCCTAAACTAGTGCTCTCCAAATGTGTTACACTACAACCCTTATAGACCTTCCCAACCTGGCATCCCCAGATAGATTGAACTACAGTGCCCATCATATCCATCTACTGAGTTGACTGGGAACAACCCATCTGCAAAGTGCCAAGTTCGGCTATTACAAGAATCTTCAAAGTGTGGCCTTCCAGCTTTTTGGGCCTCCAACTCCCAGAAACCCTAGCCATCTTCAGTGGTCATGAATTCTGGGAGTTGGAGGCCTAAACAGCTGGAAGGCAGCAGTTTAAGGATGCCTGGGCACACAACACTACCAACAACAACAATGTCTTGGGAGAGGGCCTTCTTGATGGCAGTTCTCAAGATCTAAAACTCCCGACTAAGGGAAGTCTGATTGGTTTCCTCCTTGCTGTCTGAATAAAAAAAGGTAAGGACTTTTAAAAAATCAATCAGGATGGCAGGGCTTATTAATAGGCGGGAACTGTACTTTTCTAAGGATTTTCAATGATGCTTTCCATTTCTTTAAATAGGATACTCAATTCTATTTTAATAATTGATCTTGTTCTGTCTTATGATTATGTGCTTTCATTTGTTACTATGATTTTCCTGGAGAAAGGTGGGATATAAATCCAATTACTACCCCCTTAAAAAACCCATCCCTGAACATAAACATAAATTGGCAGATACTATATCAAAATCCATTTTCTGCTATCTAAAATCTCCCTGAGAGCTAAGCTCAGGGAAGCGATGCAAGACAGTGCTTGGTTTTATGTTTACTGTCTTACGCTGAAATGTCTGTTTTTGTTGCAAGTTCTTCCCCAAAAGGAGTGGTTCATCTCTAGGAGGCTAATTTCGTATAGCCAAGTGCAGGATTGTAATAAATAAACCAAAAAGTGAAGTGCCTTTCTGAACAGCCCTCACATCAGCAGGAAATATGAGTGGTTTGGGAAATTTGAACCATTTACTACTCTGTCTAACATTGTTTAGAACAGTAATAGATTTTTTTCCCTTTAATAAACCATAAGTGATCTCTTTGTTTAGTTTTAATTAAGGAATTGCACCACCACTGAGGAGTTTTCACTCCTAACTGCTAAGCAAATAATCTGAAATACAAACGAAGCAGGTAGGCAGACTGAAAAGGTGAATTTTGAAGCAGAATTTCCCCCGCAATCTCTATGCAGAAGACTGTAATTTCCCACTTGGCTGTCTAAACAGATAGACTTATATGCAAGTGCATTTCTCCCTAGTACGGGGAAAGCCCTTTCTCAAGCTGGACAATTTTTGCTACCCCACCTTCCCTGCCAAACTATATCTCTGTGCCTGATATAACACATCTGACACTTGTCTTTGAGCTGCGTAAGGGAGTTCAGCATCCACATTTTTTAATATCCATGTGGGGTCCTGGAACCGATCTTCCACAAAGATGGAGGGCTCACTATAAATGTAGGAAGAAAGGTTGGTGTGAGAGAAAAACATTTGAGTGATTGGTATAATGATGATGATGATGATGTCCGACGTGTGATCCACAATCACACATCTTGTCTGCTGTGGACTCATCTTGTTGTGTTTCTAATAATAATAATACTAATAATAATAATCATTTATTTATATTTCGCCCTGGAATATATGGATCTGATTTATCCCGAGAGGAGTGAGTGTGGTGTTTCAAGTGTTACACAGTACAATCCTATAATGAACGGGACCTACCATAATAATAATAATAATAATAATAATAATAATAATAATTTCAATTTGTAATAGCATTTCATAACTGTGTGGTTTCCTGGCATTATATATATCTGCTGCTTCTGTAAATTTTCATTTGTATTTTGGTTCTGTAGCCCACTTGTCGATGGATGTCCAAAATCAGCAGCATCCACCGTGGTCCTTTTTATCCTGGGCATCAACCAAGCCAGTATAGACTTCGTTTTGGTTTGTTTCTCCATAATGCTAATGGGTTAGGTGCTCTTAGTTCCACTCTTCAGCTGAGACCTCTCTGACTTGGTTGAACGTGCTGG